GAGACTAGCCGTAGAACCAGTGAATTACATTGAGATTTGTATTTTTTGAACAGGGTGTGAGAAGTACCCAAAGTCTGGATGTTCCCATTATTCGCAATGGAAAGCTCATGGTTTCTAGTGAGGTACATAAATTTATGCAGAACAGAGGAGATATTTAATAAGACTCTGAATAAAAATTTCATAACCTGGCTTGAGCACGGAGATTGGTGCATTTGTAGTCTGAGGAAACATATTAGCCATAGTTTGCATTTTCTATATTTTTTTCTAAATTTACTGTTGTAAGATATTAAAATTCATGTGTTTCATGAGCAGAGAAATTAAAACTTTTCCAACTTAACAACATGAGGGGTGTTAGAATTTTCAAAATCGTTCAAATCTGCAAGAAATTATATTCATGTGAAAATCTACCAGTTCATCGCCAGTTAATTTATTGAATGATGTTTTTATACCAAAAAACAACAATAACAATAACGTCAAATATTGAAATTTTTTATCATGATACTATATGTAACATCTTTGAAATAACAAACAAATAATAATAATAAAAAAATATAATTCATAAAGTAAAACAAAAATAAAAATAAAATAGTGTTTTTTGTAAACATTTATGACAAAAAATTGCAACATTTAGATAATCAACCAAACTATTTATATATTATATTTCAGTACATTCAATATCTAGTGGAAATAGCTAATACAAAGATGGAGGAAAACTTCTCAAAAATAGAAAGGTAGGTTTACTGAAGGCAAAGAGAGGGTTACTCAGTCTTAATGTATGATGTGAAAGGCTCAAAAAAGTTAAAAAACTCTTTATTTTATGTGACATTTTAAAACTTGTACTTTTTGTTGTTATTTTTGACCATGTTGCTGTGAAACAGCTTGTTTAATTTGCTTACTTAATTTGCTTTTTTTTTTTGATATTAAAGATGCACTGGCCTCCTTCACAGGCAAATCTATTCTGCGGGATTCCTGTGTCGAGGCAGCAAATCTGGGGGAGCGGTTAGAAAGGGAGGAGAAACAGGTCTATACATTGTTTCTAATCTCTCAACACCAATTTGTCTTGGCCAAGACCCTGAAGAGAAAAAATCTGTTTCCTTAGAAGTAGCCTGTGAAGGAAGCC